TATATATACTACATAAATAAGCATATGTACTTTAACTAACCCTGACTCCCAAACCTTTTGACTTTGCTTGTTCAGGCCTTATTTAGTAGGTCTGACCCCCATAAATCATTCCTTGTGACAGTTTTTTTCTTTACTGTCTGTTTATACAAGCAATTCAACTACAAACCATCAGTGTAATGATCCGTCCAGTTATATAATAACTAGAAATTAAAATCAAAACCACCCACAAGTCTACTAGTTTCTTTGATGTTTATTTTTACATATTAAAATATTTGCAGTATAATGATGCCTCATAGTTTAATGCGTTTTTATGGAACAAAATCTGGCTCGAAATAAAAAGGAATACTCCACATTATTATTACATCATTAGAAGTGAAAATTGTACGAGGCCACAAGTGTGAGTGTCCTCTTTCACCCCCAACACGTTATGGTCTCCACAAGATGGCGTTGTTTGACAGGTGACTATTAATTATCATAAACCAGCTGATCATTATACATAAAAATAAATTACACCAGTGAACGCCACTGATGAGTTATGTCTTAGAATTAATTTATTTAAAATATGTTGCACAACAGGCATACATCCTTTAGAAAGTTTAGAAACGTTATCACACCTAACCAACAATAATTCTGATTTATAAAATAGCTTTTTTATTTCAGCTGAATATTCATTTCAAATATCCTCATACAAATGTCCTTGAGAACAATGACAATCTTTATGAAGTATTCGTTTTTTATTTAGTGTTTAAATATCAAAATATCCAACTTATATGAACTAGTGGCGTATGTATTACAGTTACTTACAGATTATATTCAAAGGCTTTCTGCAGTCAAGCATATTTAACACGCGCATTAAATTACCTTCATGTATCTTCACCTTATGATACTTTAGTTATAAAAAAATGGTCAGGGAATGATGACCAAGAAGTGAATGTTGCCTTTGGAAAAGAGAATGAAAAAGACTGTTTAAATGTTTAAGCAGAACAGCTGGGAGGCAAATGCGAGAAAGTGAAGAACAGGATGATGACAGATAGAGAAATAGATATTGTGCACCTTCCCCAGTCTTAGTGGAAGGAATATCCAGCTGAAGGGAGACCTCCGCACCACTGTGTGATAAATTTCAGCACATCTTGACATTCTGGACTGTGAGTGGTCTAAAGGGTGAAACAAAAACAAGCAATCATGATCAAAGCACCGCAGGCGACCCCAGGCAGGATGAATGGGACAAACTGTGAAGTAATGCGAAAACTGCAAATGCACCAAGGAAAAAAAACGATGATGAAATTCATCGAAAGAGAGCATTTACATTTACTTCAACAAAACACACGCTAATAAATTCAGTCCCGAGTGTTAACTTTTGATCAAGAGAACAAATTAATTATAAATTAAACGACTGCGGTGTGATTGAAGACTAATTGTGAAAGCTCAGAGGTAACAATGACTAACATGTACCTTTGTAGCCATCAATAATTTATTCCAGTCATCTTTATTTGCTGCCATCCCTGGTCTTTTGAACTCAATTTTATTGTGCAGGACAGGGTAACCTGTGTTCCAAATAAAAAGAAGAAAAATAAAGATACTTTTGTGTTTTATAATCACACATCTAAAGGTACAGGTCACCCAAAAATAAAATTGTCATCAACTACCTTCAAAACTTTCTTTCTTCTCTGATAACACAAAAGGTGACATTTTGAGGAATGTTTCAGCTGTTTTTACAATAGAACTTAATGGGCCCCACTCTCACTGCATGGAAAAAAAATAAATCTTCTTTTGTGTTACACAGAAGCAATACAGCTTTGGAAAGGCATGAGGGTGCGTAAATTACAGAATTTTCATTTTTGGGTGAACTGTCCCTTTAAAAGAGCCAGTTCACAAGCAATTTAAAGGAAACATTGCTTCACACCGGACAGTCTTTTGTGCAGATTGCCTCACCTGTGATGACGCAAGGTAGGGACCGGATGCCAGTGCCGGCAGCCACTAGTGAGGCTTCATATGTGCCTCTCTCATCCTTCGGCAGCACCTGCTCCACCCGTTGGTCCATGGACACAGTCAGAACCCACTCCCTAATCTCCTCCCTCTTCTCCACCTGAAACACAGCCAATGGGAAGAGTTTACACAAAGGATAACATTTTTTTTTTTTTTTAAATACACTGGCACCAGTGCAGTGTTTTTGGCGAAGGCTTACAGTGAAATGTAGCTTTGAAGGTACAGGGACCTCAAATGGGATATCTGTATCCTGGAAGTCTGTGTGATCTAAAGCATCCAATGTTCCCTCGTCAATGCCCTGAGAATTTAGAACAATTGCTGAAATGAGGTCATTTAAAGAATGTTATTAGAAACAGTACAATAAAAATGGCAAAAATAGCACTTGAAGGAGCAGCTGAAAGCAGTAAAATAATTTATAAATGTCAATTTTGTCCATTCCATTCCATTTCTACTCAGTAATAAGCAGTGTTGTTATAAATATCGACTTGGTTATGTTTAAAGTTCACTTAAATTTGTTTTAGATCATTAGACATGACATTATGAGGTCTTGGAAGTCTGTCTGAAACCAGTTTCCTTAGAAGGTACAATCCTGTTCAAAAGTCTGGGGTTGGTAGGATGTTTTTAATATTTTTTAAAGAAGTCTCTTTTGCTCACCTAATTTGCAAGGCTGCAATTATTTAATCAAAAATGCAATAAAAACAGTACAATTGTGAAATACTATTACAATTTAAAACAAATGTTTTCTATTTTAAAATATTTTAAAACAATTTGTTTATGTGATGGCAAAGCTGAATTTCTGCAGCCATTACTCTTCAGTGTCACATGATCCTTCAGAAATCATTCTAATATGATTTGCTGCTCAGAAACATTTTTTATTATCATCAATGAAAACAGTTGTGCTGCTTAATATTTTTTGAAAAATATAAAGTTAAAAAGAACAACATTTATTTGAAATAGATTTTTTAACGATATAAATATTTTTCCTGTCACTTTTGATTAATTTAATCCATCTTCACTAAATAAAATATTTTCTTAAAGGGGTTCACTGTTTTTTTTCTAGGCTTGATTGTGTTTATGGGGTGCAGTCTAACATGTTAATGCTTCGTTTTTTAAAAAACGCATTATTTTTCACATAATGTACCTTTGTTCCACACCGCTCTGTCCCTTCTCTGAGAAATACGCTGATCATTTCCTGCTTTTATGAAGCCCCACCCTCAGAAATAGGCGATGGGCCTTCTCATAGCTATGTGAAAATAAGTGTATAAATGGAACAGAGCTGAGCTGATGATCTGAATATGAGAGAGAGAGAGATGCAGAGCGTGTGCAGAGCAGGGGGATGTGAGGAACAGTATTAAGAACCGCTGCTTTAGAACATTGATTTTGAAACTTGTGAATCCATTAGAATCCTTAGAAGACAGAATCGCGATTCATATATGAATAGATTTTTACGTGCACCTCTAGTTTTCTCTTCCTCTTCTCTAAAGCAGCGCAGCATGGCCTCGCCCCCTTTGTTGCATGTTCCCGAGGGCGGGGTTTATCTGGCTTTGTTACGTCACAAAGTAACTTGTTGTAGTCCCTACCAGCCGTTTTTGTAGGCATTAAATTGCCAGAATTTTAAAAAACGTATCTCCGTTTGCATTGAACTTTCAGCTTCGTAACTTTGCAGATATTGTTTATGCTCAAACAGCAACATTACACACTAACTAACGTTAAAAAAGTGAAATCACAATCAACCACCCCTTAAAAAAAAACTTAATGTCCCCAACCTTTGACTCTGTAAAGTCTGTACAGTCAATGAATAACTGGGGAGTCTTTTCAAGTGATTTGCAATGTTTAAGTTTGTTTAATTTGAAAGATACACATCAGACTGCACACACAATCAAAAGTCTTTACTTACATCAGCCAAATCCAAGAAGCGGTTGAGGAAGATAAAAGCCATGTTCTCCCATTCCACAGCCTGCATGAGAAATATTCATCAGTGACACACAGAACTGAAGAAGCTCAAATTAAAAATGAAAAGTTTAAGAAATGTAAAAAAAAAAAAAAAAACTCCAGAAAGAGGACACATCGCCACTTCGTCTTCACAATGCGAGGCAACTCAAACTGCTTTGCGAATCAAATTATTCACACTTGCTGTGAGCTCTTACTGGAGCAAACAGAGGAGAGTTAAGCCAATTTCCCAGGGCTTTTAGCTGCCATCCTGTTCTCTGTCTCACATGAATGGTTGAAGCAGCTATGAGTGAATGTGTGTGTGTTTGGAGCTGGGCTCACTGCGAGTTCACCTTGGCTGCCAGGCCGGCCTCATAAAAGGCCTTGTCAGCTGGAATGAGCTCGGTGTGCCTCAGGAGAGAGATGGACAACTTGGCTGCCACTGAACTCTGTAGACAAGTAAACACACATGCAAAATTACAGTGACACAGATAACATAAAAGTGAAGTATGTAATGTTTTTGGATGTTAAAATACACATCCTATCCCAGTTTATTATGCTAAGTCAACATTGGCTTAACCGATGGCATGACATTGGGGCTGGACTAAGCCGATTGGAGGTAGGGGATTGTTTTGGAAACATTTTTGTAATCAGTCATTATTTTTCCAATTGTGTTTGGTGACATGGAAATTACACATTTGAAAGGCAATATGACAAGGCATTGACAACACTTTGAACTTTTTATCAATAAAAATTGTAAATTTCAGCAGGAAATAATGTGGAACAGGACTTTATTACTGCCTTTTTTACAACAGCAGAAACGCGTATACTATATATTTACAAAAGATCATGAAAACAAATATTTTTCTCTAGAACAACAAGAACTGATGATTATGGGCAATAAGACCAGACATATCTGCAGTAGTGAACGTTGTCTGGACATTAAGATTTTTTTAAATGTATTTGATCACAAATAGAGTAAAAATAGTAATATTGTGAAATAATATTACAATTTAAAGTGGAGAGTTTTCTATTTTAATATATTTTAAAGTGTCATTTTTTTCCTGTGATGGAAAAGCTGAATTTTCAGCAGCAATTCCAGTCTTCAGTGTCACATGATCCATGCTGATTTGGTGCTCAAAAAAATGTAGTGCTGCTTAATAGTTTTATTTGAAAGAGAAATATTTCATAACATTATAAATGTCACTTTTGATCAAATTAATGCATCTTGCTGAATAAAAATTGTAATATATTAAACTTTTTTTTTTATTTTTATTACTGACCCCAAACTTTTGAATGGTAGTGAAAGTTATATTAAATATATTTATGTGATATCAACATGCATATGTAAAACACATAACAAAGATCTGCTGTGAAGTATATACACACCAGCTGGTCAATGCCTTTGGCTGCAGAGCGGGTGGCGTAATAGTGAGCAACCAGCAGCATCTGCTCAAACTCCTCATGGGCTGGAGAATTAGCTTCTGAAGACTTGCTCAGGTTTTCACACTGCACAGCACAGAGATACTGTAAGATTCACTATTTCCCACTTGAATATAGAATCAATACTGGCTAAATAATTTCCCAACCCAGAGCTCACCAGCAGCAGAAGGACGTCCCTTAGATCGGCCCACATCCGATAAGCTTCCGCACAATCCCGGTCCCTTACGCTCACCAGCTCCAGGAACATCCGCTTGTAGATGTTGAAGTTCTGCAAGAAGGAAGGGAAGATGTTTCTGATGAAATCCAGAAGTCCTTATGCTTGAAGGAGATGCATCATGCATCATTTTGCTTTCTTTTGTAAAATAAAAGAGTTTGATTCATTATGCAGACATGACTGGATGTACCTGTGAATAAGCGGGAACGCCATGCTGAGTGTAAAGGTTGAGTACTTTCTCTGCCTCACCCTCTTTGATCAGGTGAGTGGCGTACAGAGCGATGTACTTTTGCAGGACCTTGAAATTCTGTTGGAGAAGGGAAAGGCAGATACTCTGTGAAAATGTTGCCATGTTTCCACACTGACATGTCTGGGGGGAAGAGCAGATGAATTGGCACCTGTTTCGAGGCTGTGTCGATGCATTTCTCCCACTGTCCTCTCTCAGAGTACATGTCAAGGGCAGCCACCACATCTACTCCAACCAACTGATTGAAAATATAGGAAAACTATTAGGACAAATTGAAATTTAAAACTAATTATACAATTACTAATAACATTACAAATATTAATAATATTGTAATATCAATAACATTACAAATATTAATAATTTTATTATTAAAAATATGAAAACAAACAGCTATGCAAATTAATATTATTATTAACATAATTGTTCATTTTATATGATCCTTAATAATACATTTTATACTTTTATAATAATTAACTTGATATTTTATATTATTATTAATATATTTTATATAATAATTGAATACTGACCGAAAAATAAAGGAAAACTAATACTGACAAATTAGGATTTAAAATAATTCTAACTTTTCCTAAAAATACTCAAATTACTATAAATTATTATTATAGAATTATAATTAAAAATATAAAATATATTAATATTAATATTATCAAAATAAAACATACATTAATTATATTTATAAATATAATAAATAACCATGACCATTAATAATATGAATAATATGAATAATATTGTTACTCAGACGCAGGCAGTGCGCTGCATGAGGCAAAAAAGTAATATAACCAAAACAACCGCATAGCCGCTCTTTAGTGTAGATGCATGTTGATTTTATCAGACGATGCCGCGATTATAAATGAGAGTGACTCCTGGTTAACATGTATTAAAAGGGGTCGTGTTTAGTCACTATTTAGTGTGGTATATTGCAGTATTTCCTCTCTCAATCAGTAGAAAATATGGTTAACACCCGGTCATGCATGAAAAAAAATACCGTCATGTACCGTGAAACCGGTATAATTTTGAAAAATACCATGATATAAATTTTTGGTCATACCGCCCAGCACTACTAATAACTAAATTGATTCAAATTAAATAAAAATTCATTCAAATGTATGAATAATTTACTAATAAACATTAAAAATATGAATAGTAATACATAATTACGTAAATCATAACAATGACTGTAATTATTAGTAGTATTATTAGTATTATCATTATTATTATTAATAACAATAAGCCTTTAAAGCAGCTTCTCATTGCCTATTGCTTTAACGTACAGTCAAAAAGATGAGAAAAAAAAAAATGTCCTCTCATTCACACACAACATAATATATGATATAGCACATTCTTGATTGCCTACATTTTATTATGTAAGTGTACATTAAACTAGTTTCCTCGTTAACATTCTCTTTCTTTTCAATAAAAAGCCCTGACCTGCATCATTCCGTGATTGTAACCAAACTGCCAGTGAAGCATTGCAATGAGAGGCAAGCACTCACATCAATTTGGTGACTCATATCTGTTATTCTAAATTGAATCAAGCCAATCATCTCCATTTTTCTCTCCTCCCAACAGTAACTGAAAACAATGAAGTACCAGAGCGGAGGAGCTGCAGTCTGCGGTATTATGTTATGCTCATTTAACCTCAACTTCCACTGCTAGGAAATAGATTTTATTTGTTTGAACTTAAACAGGATTCTGACAGCTAGCAGTTCCCTGACATTTTGAGCTATGATGCTGCTCATGTGGGCGACAAGAGTTTGATTAACAATCCTGTTCCCTTTCGGTCTCCCAAGGTGGTCTACAATACTTGGAGAAAGCTATCTGCTAGTATTCTCATTTATCTCAATGGCAACTATGTGATGTCAGAAGCAGCAGGCGGGGAAAAATAAGACAATTTCATGCTTTTAAGAGTCCTCCAAAATAAAATCAGCTATTGGCCAAACATTACTACAATATAATGACATATTTAGATTTATATGCTGCTTGCAATACACTAATAAATGTAAGTTATTAAAATAAAATTGTGATTCATAAAATTGTGGCTCTATTTCAGTCATTAATTTTTTGTTTAATTAAAAATAAAATAATATATTAATATTAATAATATCAAAATAAACCATGTTAATTATATTTATAAATATAATAAATATCCATGACCATTAATAATAATAATAATAATAATAATAATAAAAATGAATACTGAAAAATGGAAAAATAAAATTAAAACTATTAGGACAAATTAGGATTTAAAATAATTAAAACCACTAATAATTAAATTGAATAATTTACTAATAAACATTAAAAATATTAATAATAATAAATAATTACATTAATCATAACAATGGCTGATATTTTTATTAGTAGCTTCTCATGGCCTATTGCTTTAACGTACAAACATTACTACATTATAATGATATATTTAGATTTATATGCCGCTTGCAATATGCTAATAAATGTAAGTTATTACAATAAAATAAATTGTGATTCATAAAATTGTGGCTATATTTCAGTCATTAATTTTTGGTTTAATGAAAAAAAAAAATGTTTTTTTGGTTTAATTAAAAATAAATAAAAATTTTAATTTAAATAAAAAAAAATTTTTTTTAAAGTTCAGTTGTCTATTATCAATAGTGTAGCAATGTTGTAATCATTTTTTATTTTATATCTACATTTGATGAAAAGCTTTTCCATTTTGATGTAGTTCCAGCATCTAACTGGCCAAGGCTAAGCAGCCAAACCTTGACCCATCATTTGAAGTCCTCTCTGTACTATCTCTAATAATAAAAGCAGAAAATAGATTAAAAACAAAACATAAATTAATTTGATAATGTGAACTTACGGAGTCAACTTTGCCTTGATTTTTCAGGTGCTCTTTGTAGCGTTTGTCCACATATTCCTCTAGCCTGTGATGAGAGGAAATGTCACAAAACCTCAATAACGGCAAACTCTTATAGAGAGTGACGTCATAGTATTTTCAATAAGACATAAATATATATTCTACTTAAGAATACACCTCATGCAGAACGGGAAAGCATTTAGACTTGATTCCTAAACCTATTTTTCCGGCCGTAAATAAAAGACAGTCAGAGATAAACTGCGAAGGCCGTCTGCACCTCTTTGGCCTTGTGCTGTCGTGCACTTCATTTGTTTCACTGAGTGATTTTTCTGACAGCGAGAGAGTGATTTCACTGCCTCCCTCTCACATTGTTGGCTGTAGCGTTGTTAGGGGCGACCAGTCTGCTAAGGGCTCACCTTGGATCGAGCTCCTTGGCCACTCTTTTAGCTTTGTTCCATTCTTCTCCCTCAATGAATGCGTCTATGGCGTTCTTAATGAGGTCCAGGTTGAGGTAGAGCTCAGCAGCCTGAAAGAAAGAAAAAAAAACATTTGTATCTCAACAGGTCCATGGCTCGAGGACGCCAAAGGATAGATGAAGTCTGTGAGGTTTTTGTGCGGTCACATTGCTTTTGTGTCATACACTAAATATACACTCGCACACATGGGCAAACAAGCGCACTGAAAGCACCATTTCCTCTTGGTGTGCCGCTCTCAAAACACAATACTTAGAAAGAATAAAAAGCTAGGCCTAGTATTTTGGAGGGATTTTTCAGTATTTCTGCTCAAAATTGCATCTGTCAAATGTCAATGTCAAATAGAGAGTTTTATATACTTAATGTGATTCTATACCTGAAAAACAAAATAAAAGAAACATACCTCATTGTACTTTCTGAGCTGAATCAGGCGTGGCCCGACGACCTGACTGATGTCCACAGCCATGTCATGAGATAAAAATTTAATGGCCAATTCTGCTGCCTGGAGGACATGAAAAGATGAGAAAACCTTTGTAAAAACTGTAAATGCAACAAAAAATGTAATGCTTTATGAGCATAAAAACATTTTTCAAAGATCACGGTCTTCTTTTTCACAGTTTATTTATTTATTTATTATTTTTATTTAAACAATTCTTTAGTCTAATATAATGCTAACAGTATTCCGTCTGATTTTTGCAAGACCTTCAAGCAATAATAAACTTAAACATTCAACACACTCTGACTAAAATGGAAAAAAAGAAAAGATCAATCAGTAAAACTTTATAAGGGATGCAGATGAAAATACGTCTTAAATTCACTTTAATGTAAACGTATGTGTACCTCTGTCATAGAGGCATCCTTGTTAAAGGTCCCCTGAAATGCTTAGAAACACGCAGCATTACTCTATGTGTTGACGTCATTTTAACTGAAACAGGAAGACAGGGCGGGACATATCAAGCAGCCCCGCCCCTTTTTTAAATAGCCAATAGCGTTTGTTTATATCACAGCTCGGGCTAGAGCCGTTCAGAGCCATTGAGCTCCGTAAAGCCGCATTTGACAGGGTATGCCAGCCACAATCTCATCCATATTGCCATAAAATATAGCATTCTGTGTAGAATTCAAATAGCTCCGATACATTTTGTGGTCTG